AAGGACTTAGAACACTATGGGTTCATACATTATATTTTTTATTAATGCGAGGCTGTGAAGCAGTTCTGCCCTTAAGATGGTATCAAGAATCATTAAGTGAACAAGGGAGCTGTGTAGCTTGTCGTATGTGAGAGAAGCACAGGGAAAAGTTTTTATTTAAAGCCCGTGTAGCTTAAAACTAATTTATTAAAGTAAATTTACACTATTACACACGGTCCCTTTACGTTAATAGAGAGTATCACGGACACAAGAGTTAAGTAAACGGGTAACTTGTACCCCCCCCCCCCAACTTGTAAGGCAGAGTGAACGAACTTAACACTTGTGATTACTTTCTTTGGCACTGGCAAAGAAGGGAAGTCGACTGGTATACAACCGTATACTTATAACACTTTTGTCAGTCAAAATCGCATGCACTTGCACAATGATTATACAACCTATCCTCCTGTTTAGATACTACCTATTGTGACGATCGTCAATAGTCACGAATTCGTACATACTTAGCTTTCACATAGTGGTATACTGACTAGTAAGGAATTCTTTCAAAATAAATGTTGCTAAAACACAAACTTACATATTCCTAGGACTAGAATAGCACACATGTATAATATATTAGGCCTCAGAAGTCGTGTATTAGGCCTAGGGAGGCCATATAGTAGGCCTAACCAGCTTGCACATGAGTGCTCAAGACCTGTACATTGAATGCACAAAAACAACAAATCTCCTACATTGCTCTATCGTGCACAACCTGGAACATTTCAAGACAATGTGAGTGTTACAACTCTCACAAATAATGACCACTGACAGTCGCCTTTAAGTACCAATTAAATGCACTTTTTTGGGAGGAACAGAAGGTAAGAAAATTATATTGAGTCTAGTCCTACTTTTTTGGGCTACACCACTCACCGAGTGAGAGTTTAACGAGCGAACGCAGCAAGAGTGTCACCGTAATGGTCACTTTATAATGCCTTGATAACAGACCGACCATTGACACCAGGCAGCCTGATGCCACAATAATACCCATTGGGACACAGAATACAAAGCTTTATGAGTGTACTGTAAGCCATGTTGAAAAATAAAGTAAGGTAGTTGTAAGGAGACAGAGCTAAGAGAGTGCGACTGTTTAACACTTGGAAAGTATATGAAGATAAAGATTTAGGATAGAACGGAGGAAAGGAATGATGCCCAACCATTTGGACAGTCGGGGATGGACAGGTTACAAGTGAGGCCGTCGTTCTTTCGTCCAGTTCAAGTGGAAGACAGAGCGTCCGTCCATATTAAAAGAGGCATTACACATTTTCACAGGAAATAAAACATAATTTGAGTTATTAATTCTTTTTTTATATAAAGATGCAATAATTAAATTTTACATAAAGTATAACATTTCTGAAGATGTATCAGTTATCTTAAGCAATATTTGGTTATATTAAGTAAAACTGTGAACGTCATTTTATGCGGATTTAGGCAGCTTAGACTAGGAACTTACTGACGTGTGTTTAACAGCGAGACACTCCAATAACTCTCCCTTTGCGCCCTTCTACCTGGCCACGTTTACTGCGGTATCTGGACGAGTCAGATTTGGCTGCGTGGAGTTAAACTGGGTGATTATGGAATAATTTTTTCTTGGATTGGCAAAGAAATCGTTTCATCGCCTCTACTACGAGCCACGTTTAAAATGCCTGTATTTATTTAATCCTCACATTGTTGGTAACTTGTTCATATAAGCGAGTGAATAAGAAACCATTTTCAAACTAAATACTTATTTTATAGCAACTCACTTGATATATAACTATTAAGAGAGAAACAGCTCCTAAGAAAGGCATACGAGATAGAAACACCACTTCTGAGCACACTTAAGATAAGACTCCTCACAGAGGTAAGATACGGAAACACTCTTAACTATATACTAAACAAAAGTAAGAACATAATACCACACACACATATGTACAAACGAACCCTAGAGTTTGTCTACATTAATAATTCCATCTGGAGCTGAAACTCTCCAGATGCTCCTTGACTGTCAAGTCATTACTTGTGTCAAATTACCAACATCTAAACTAACTTTCCTAAGCAAAATCATAACCCGCCTTCTCCAGTACGGGTAGACAACAGTGTATGATTCACCGGGGAGTGTCCACCAACGTTATTGGTAAGGCATACTCACCCAGACGCTCCCACCAGAGTCTTCGCCGCCGCCTTTACTACCTGCCACTTACCACCGCCTCTACTACGTGCCACTTACCACCGCCTCTACTACGTGCCACTTACCAACGCCTCTACTACCTGCCACTTACCACCGCCTCTACTACGTGCCACTTACCACCACCTCTACTACGTGCCACTTACCAACGCCTCTACTACGTGACACTTACCACCACCTCTACTACGTGACACTTACCACCGCCTCTACTACGTGACACTTACCACCGCCTCTACTACGTGACACTTACCAACGCCTCTACTACGTGACACTTACCAACGCCTCTACTACGTGCCACTTACCACCGCCTCTACTACGTGACACTTACCACCGCCTCTACTACGTAACACTTACCAACGCCTCTACTACGTGCCACTTACCAACGCCTCTACTACGTGACACTTACCAACGCCTCTACTACGTATCACTTACCACCTCCTCTACTACGTGCCACTTACCAACGCCTCTACTACGTATCACTTACCACCTCCTCTACTACGTGCCACTTACCACCTCCTCTACTACGTATCACTTACCACCTCCTCTACTACGTGACACTTACCAACGCCTCTACGTAACTTGGTAAAATTCCTTATAACAACTATATTTATACCTCAATATGTATAATCAATCCCAATTATGCTCAAAAACAGAATTCTAACATAATATTTCATATATCCATCGTATGTTTTTATACTTGTGTCAGTTTGGGTTAAACGGTACGAAATCTCAGTTTTCTTTTATGGTCAAATTTCCTGATAAAATAATCAAACTTCAGATATGTACAATCACCTTCAATTAAGCAGAAAAATAGCCCTAAAACATTGTATTTTAAATATCCATCGTGTTTTTCCATATATGTCAATTTGGGTAAGGTGCACAAATCTCCGTTTTCTCTTATTGAAATTTCCTTAAAAAATTACTAAATTGAAAACTTAAAATCGTATTTTTCAAACTGCATGTCAGTTTAGATAAGATGAAACAAATCTCCGTTTTCCCTTGTCAAATCTCCTTATATACTTATAAACATTATTGAATTTAAAACTCAAGACCAAGATATATCTTCATCATAAAAATAAGGCAACTATAGAAATCGGAAATGGGGAAAACAATTTGGAAGTGGATATAATTCTAAACATTTAGAAATTTTATATCAGGACTCTTTCAATGCAATCTACAGACTTTGTTAAGCTAATAATAGACTATGCAGCTCAGGCGTCGAGTCCGCAACTTGTGAAGCATAAACCCAAAATTTCAATGGTACAGAGTTTTGCTACAAATTAGTGCTAATGCTGAGATAGTAAAGCTGTGAGGATAGGTTAAGGGAACTAGATCTACCAACCCAGGAGGACAGAAGACACAGACGGAGTAACAAGAGACAAAACAATATCACAGACGGGGTAACAAGAGACAAGACAACAGAGACGGGGTAACAAGAGACAAGACAACACAGACGGGGTAACAAGAGACAAGACAACAGAGACGGGGTAACAAGAGACAAGACAACACAGACGGGGTAACAAGAGACAAGACAACACAGACGGGGTAACAAGAGACAAGACAACAGAGACGGGGTAACAAGAGACAAGACAACACAGACGGGGTAACAAGAGACAAGACAACACAGACGGGGTAACAACAGACAAGACAACACAGACGGGGTAACAAGAGACAAGACAACACAGACGGGGTAACAACAGACAAGACAACACAGACGGGGTAACAAGAGACAAGACAATATCACAGACAGACAAAGTGGACAAGAACAGCCTGTTTACGTTGAGAGAATAAAGGACATAAGTGGAACCTAGAAACGCAAAAGACTTGAAGAGAAGTAAACCAATGGTCGTGCCTCGTACGGGAGGTCAACAACCCTAATGAACTGAATGGGGTCGTGAAGGACTATTTTTTTAATTGTTACCGCCGGAGGCGGCTAGTTTATTGTGCACCCCATACTCATCCTGTGAGCGGTAGCGCAAAAAGGATTATAGACCGCACAAAAGTTCTTTATCAGACCTCAACGGAGATTATGACATTAACAATTTCATCTATCCTTCACACTTTATAATTACAATGTCAGCTAGTTACAGAGAATTTTATGTTTCTAGAACTATATATATACAGTAAGTCATTATACAATAATGGTAGGTCATATCGTTAATACTTGCTTGTTTGAATAACGGATATATTACAGTCATTGGGGAGCTGCTGTTTGTTAATATTAGTTTACACAATACACTACATGTTTCCTTATCTCATATATCGTTTATGTACTGAGAGAGGCCTATGTAGCGGTAAATCCGGGAGTAGGCCTCCACGACCCGCTTCAGTGCATCAAGCATGTTGACCTTCCGTACTATGTCACCTCCTTTCACAACTCTTAAGGCAAGATTCGACACATAATTCGGTCAGAATAGTGATATTATAACGCAACAGATACACTAACCAGAGTAGGCGGGTCAGCTCCCCTTGAACACCGATATGTTAGTACACCTTCCCGCCCAAACGAGCCCGCCCACACCTACCCGCCCACACACGCTAGCCCGCCTCACCTACCCGCCCACACCTACCCGCCCACACCTACCCGCCCACACACGCTAGCCCGCCCACACCAAAACACACACATATATGACTCGCAACTCGCCCACCACCGCCCGCACAACATCAACATTTTCGTACTGTTTCCGCCGCCCTCCGGAGCGTTGAGATAAGTAGGAGTGAACCACGTCAGCGTCTGTGACTCTCGGGGGCTGTTTAGTTCTGCTTGCTAATTTGCACACTCATTACGGAGATATTAACCGTGTCACGAGTAGTTAGGACGCCACGTAGCACCTTGATCCCTATAACTAGTAACACCAGCACCAGCTGTAACACTGGGGTCAGTAACACCAGCACCATCTGTAACACTGGGGTCAGTAACACCAACTGTAACACTGGGGTCAGTAACACCAACTGTAACACTGGGGTCACTAACACCAACTGTAACACTGGGGTCAGTAACACCAACTGTAACACTGGGGTCAGTAACACCAACTGTAACACTTGGGTCAGTAACACCAACTGTAACACTGGGGTCAGTAACACCAACTGTAACACTGGGGTCAGTAACACCAACTGTAACACTGGGGTCAGTAACACCAACTGTAACACTGGGGTCAGTAACACCAACTGTAACACTGGGGTCAGTAACACCAACTGTAACACTGGGGTCAGTAACACCAACTGTAACACTGGGGTCAGTAACACCAACTGTAACACTGGGGTCAGTAACACCAACTGTAACACTGGGGTCAGTAACACCAACTGTAACACTGGGGTCAGTAACACCAACTGTAACACTGGGGTCACTAACACCAACTGTAACACTGGGGTCACTAACACCAACTGTAACACTGGGGTCAGTAACACCAACTGTAACACTGGGGTCACTAACACCAACTGTAACACTGGGGTCAGTAACACCAACTGTAACACTGGGGTCAGTAACACCAACTGTAACACTGGGGTCAGTAACACCAACTGTAACACTGGGGTCAGTAACACCAACTGTAACACTGGGGTCAGTAACACCAACTGTAACACTGGGGTCAGTAACACCAACTGTAACACTGGGGTCAGTAACACCAACTGTAACACTGGGGTCAGTAACACCAACTGTAACACTGGGGTCAGTAACACCAACTGTAACACTGGGGTCAGTAACACCAACTGTAACACTGGGGTCAGTAACACCAACTGTAACACTGGGGTCAGTAACACCAACTGTAACACTGGGGTCAGTAACACCAACTGTAACACTGGGGTCAGTAACACCAACTGTAACACTGGGGTCAGTAACACCAACTGTAACACTGGGGTCAGTAACACCAACTGTAACACTGAGGTCAGTAACACCAACTGTAACACTGGGGTCAGTAACACCAGCACCATCTGTAACACTGGATCAGTAACACCGGGTCAGTAACACCAACAGTAACACTGGGGTTAGTAACACCATCTGGAACACTGGGGTCAGTAACACCAGCACCATCTGTAACACTTTGGTCAGTAACACCAACTGTAACACTGGGGTCAGTAACACCAGCACCATCTGTAACACTGGGGTCAGTAACACCAACTGTAACACTGGGGTCAGTAACACCAACTGTAACACTGGGGTCAGTAACACCAACTGTAACACTGGGGTCAGTAACACCAGCACCAACTGTAACACTGGGGTCAGAAACACCAACTGTAACACTGGGATCAGTAACACAATCTGTAACACTGGGGTCAGTAACATCAACTGTAACACTGGGGTCAGTAACACCAACTGTAACACTGGGGTCAGTAACACCATCTCTAACACTGGGGTCAGTAACACCAACTGTAACACTGGGGTCAGTAACACGAACTGTAACACTGGGGTCAGTAACACCAACTGTAACACTGGGGTCAGTAACACCAACTGTAACACTGGGGTCAGTAACACCATCTGTAACACTGGGGTCAGTAACACCAGCACCAACTGTTACCCTGAGTCACTCCACCGAGAATGGTCTTTCATTTTATTAAACTTCATTTAAGTATTTTTTATTAATAATCATCTGTATATTCATGAATTTGATCACGGTTGTGTTTACGTGTTCAAGGCTGCCTCTGACCTGGCTCTAACTACACAGTTGGCGGTGAACACTCGCGGGCGACGGTCGTGTCCCGTCCCGTCTTGTGGAAGGTCATCCTCTCGTCCTTGAATAATAATAATCATACATCAATTATTGGTTGAGTGTACAAGCATGGACAGCTTGTAAAGATATTGTACACCCAGAAAAGATATTGTTCTATTAGACGACACATGAAAGAAGGCAACAACCTAGCCAGAACTTTCACAGGCCTATAAATATATGTACTAAACTAGCCCCTATGATTACGTATATTTGGTCAAGAATTGTTCATTTATGTCTTCGATTGCATAATTAAGCCTTAGCAGATTAGGTTTGGTATGCCAATAGTAATTTTTTTTTAATTATTTTGGGTACGAGAGTCAATTTATGTACGTTTGACCAATAGTTTCTGTAAGTACTATTAATTTTGGAGGATTGTGTTCAATAGTTCATGTTGTGTACTCGTGGAGTGTAATCAACGCTCACAACTGTCCCGTGTACCGAGCTGGACTCTTGGCGACTCCTGGGCAGGGAACACGTGGGATAGGAGGCAGTAGTTATTGCAAGATTTTGCAAGCAAGATTTTGTAAGTCTCGGCGTACATGAACTAACACAGAGACAAGGCTGAGATGGAGGAACATTTCTGAAAACTGATTAGCAAGGAAGAAAAAGAGACGAAGAACAGATGGGATGTTGTAAAGTGCTGAAAGTAATGTATATATTCTTATGAATTATAAAACAACAAGCAGGCAACAAGGAGCTCAGGCACGTGAAGGGAGCATGATGTCCAGCGGCGGAGAGACAGCTCTTCCTTAGTTCATGTACACTGAGACTTCTCTTCCTTATTCATGTACACTGAGACTTCTCTTCCTTAGTTCATGTACACTGAGACTTCTCTTCCTTAGTTCATGTACACTGAGACTTCTCTTCCTTAGTTCATGTACACTGAGACTCTCTTCCTTAGTTCATGTACACTGAGACTTCTCTTCCTTAGTTCATGTACACTGAGACTTCTCTTCCTTAGTTCATGTACACTGAGACTTCTCTTCCTTAGTTCATGTACACTGAGACTCTCTTCCTTAGCTCATGTTCACTGAGACTTCTCTTCCTTAGCTCATGTACTGAGACATTTCTCCCTTAACTCATGTACACTGAGATATTTCTCCCTTAGCTCATGTACACTGAGACTTCTCTTCCTTAGCTCATGTACACTGAGATATTTCTCCCTTAGCTCATGTACACTGAGCCAGTGTACATGAGTTAGTGAGGAACAGTATCAGCGAAGGAAGAGATCATCGTTTAGCCTCTAATTAAGAACATTGGAAGAACTGATGTACACTAAACGTATTAGTTTCCTCTATGTTATCGGTCCAACGACCCCAAGTCTCTCATGTTACCATATTAATATATTCCATAAATCAACATCCATATTTCCGAACCGTTTGTTTTCTGGATCTTATTTAATTTACGTGAATATTAATGTCGTGTTAAATGTGGTGTTTAAAACATTAATATCACATTTGTCAAACCTTTTTATCCATGTGTTCAATCCGGCCGTGTTACCTCTTCAACTGGTTTATCCTCTCTGAGAGTGGCCGGAGCGGCAACGGTCCTTCCTGTACGTTTAGTGTTCCGTTCCCGAGGGCTAAAGTGTTAGGCAGAGTTCCTTCATTCATACTTCTCCTTTCATCCCTTCCATTTGTTATACAGTCATACTCACAGTGTTCTCTCAGGACCAGCACCAACACGCTACCTCTCTTCACATGAGAGGTTTCTAATTCCCAAAATTGTTTTTGTCCTTTAACAGTGCAGTGACTCTAACCGACACGATAATCAACATGGGATTAAGGAAGAGGTAAAGCCGAGGAATATTTTATTGCTAACTCTCCTACTTATCAATCCAAGTATCATTAGTTTCATTGAGCGAAACATTGATTTCTAATATTGAGGTCCCTAGTAACTATGACTCCCAGATCTGCGTCACATTCCCGTTAGACAAATTCAACATTGTCCAGCTGATAGCTGGAAGCTTATATAATCGCTTAGCCAAGAGTTGAGGTTCATTATGTGTAAACGGTCTTAAACATTTTTATGAAATTATTATTTAGTTGTCCATAAAAAAAACATTGATTTATTTATTGATCAGAGACTTTTAACAAATATTGCATAAGTGTGTAATTAGCAGTTAGAACATGGTGATTGCCAAAGAGTAGCAACCATTTAACATTTGCTTTAAGTTGTTTTTTTGGATTACGAAATACAGGAGTGCGGAGGTTATAGTTATGACATTTAAAAGATTTGCATTTAATAGGGAAATGGCGTACCACCTCAGACTGGAAGAAGAACAACCGTAGCCACGGAAAAATACACAGACAACGCATTAGAGATTTTTTAGTTCCGTCCAATGCACTTTCTATGTTAGTTTGTCCTACAATCCCATTCTCTTTGTGTGTTTCTTTATTTTGTTTTTGTGTAATGATTTAAAAAAAATGCTCCCAGAAAGCAATAGCTCACTGGAACTTTAAATTATTTGTGCGACCGAAATATTCACAGATGGAAACTACTTCGTTGCATATGCTGCATAGATTAATTAATAATGAAAAGATAGTTACAGTTGTCCTGAGGGGAACTCCATAGCTACAGGGCCACAGTTGTCCTGAGGGGAAACTCCATAGCTACAGGGCCTCAGTGTCCTGAGGGGAACTCCATAGCTACAGGGCCTCAGTTGTCCTGAGGGGAAACTCCATAGCTACAGGGCCTCAGTTGTCCTGAGGGGAACTCCATAGCTACAGGGCCTCAGTTGTCCTGAGGGGAACTCCATAGCTACAGGGCCTCAGTTGTCCTGAGGGGAACTCCATAGCTACAGGGCCTCAGTTGTCCTGAGGGGAAACTATAGCTACAGGGCCACAGTTATCCTGAGGGGAAACTATAGCTACAGGGCCACAGTTGTCCTGAGGGGAAACTATAGCTACAGGGCCACAGTTGTCCTGAGGGAAACTATAGCAACAGGGCCTCAGCTGTCCTGAGGGAAACTCCATAGCTACAGGGCCACAGTTGTCCTGAGGGAAACTATAGCAACAGCGCCTCAGTTGTCCTGAGGGAAACTCCATAGCTACAGGGCCACAGTTGTCCTGAGGGAAACTATAGCTACAGGGCCACAGTTGTCCTGAGGGAAACTATAGCTACAGGGCCACAGTTGTCCTGAGGGAAACTATAGCTACAGGGCCACAGTTGTCCTGAGGGAAACTATAGCTACAGGGCCACAGTTGTCCTGAGGGAAACTATAGCAACAGGGCCACAGTTGTCCAGAGGGAAACTATAGCTACAGGGCCACAGTTGTCTTGAGGGAAACTATAGCTACAGGGCCACAGTTGTCCAGAGGGAAACTATAGCTACAGGGTGTTACGGCCCTATTGTGTCGCAACTGGGTTCTTCTCTGATGTTATTAGAGTTTGGGTATCCGGCCCCAAGTTAGTAGTGGCTTTCAAGGGGTGTGTTCCGTAACGCAAGTAAATTAAAAGGGGAAGGGATACAAATACACAAAATTAAATATACATTGCTACCACCACCATAAATAAATATATCACAGTCACACGCGGGGTTGCTATTACAACACTTCTTATTTACAATAACTCTTCTTCCTCCGAAGACACAGGATGCTCCACGGTGCTCACGATGAGTAGCCCTGGTCCTCTTCTCGTGGCCTCACGATGAATCCTTAGATTCTCTAGACGAGTCTACCCCGGCCACAGGCCAGCCAAATCACAGTCCCACTGGGTGCACTGTCGTGGAGGCCTTCAACCACAAATCCGGCCTGTAGCTGGCAGGTTCCAATCAGCTACGCTGCGTAGGCCACTCCACGACCGATACTAGGGTTGCGACCCCTAGGCAGAAGCCTCGTGTGATTCCACAGATCACTCTCCTCACCACAACACCCCAGTGGCTAGTCTTCTCCACCAGTCAGCCCCGGGTACGACAATTCCTCAACTGCCACGTCACAGGCAGGCTAATACAACAGTGTTCATCCAGGGGTTGACTCACAGCTTCTACAGCAAACACTTGGAGAGATTCTGGCTGCCTCGGGTAGACTCCCACATCGTCCAATACAGCAGTCCCAGGTCGACTCTGTAATCAGACACGTCATCAGTACTAGTTACACTTTAGGGCACCTCACTTACCGGCTTAGACACAAATGTCCACCTATCCACTCCATAGATGGCGTTGCTGTCTAAGCGCCACCTCACCAGAGGTCAGCAGCGGCTACATTACTAGCTGATCAAGACGGGAAACCAGCCCCTGTGGCCGGTATATCCTGTCCTCACTAGATGGCGTCGTCCATTTGGAGGGGGTTTCGGGAGCCGACTCACAGATGGCGTGGGCGTCACAGCTCCGTGTTACGACGCTGGGCTCGGGTCCGTAACACAGGGCGACAGTTGTCCTGAGGGAAACTATAGCTACAGGGCCACAGTTGTCCTGAGGGAAACTCTAGCTACAGGGCCACAGTTGTCCTGAGGGAAGTTTTAACAAAATATCGGATTCGATATTTGATAACCACCACCACAACAAAGCCCACAGGTGACACCACCACATAAGGGGGGCAATAATTCTCTTGTTAAGGGGCCACACTTCCCGTGTTAAGGGGCCATATATCTCGTGTTATGGGGCCACACTTCCCGTGTTAAGGGGCCACACTTCCCGTGTTAAGGGGCCACATTTCCCGTGTTAAGGGGCCACACTTCCCGTGTTAAGGGGCCACACTTCCCATGTTAAGGGGCCACACTTCCCGTGTTAAAGGGCCACACTTCTCGTGTTAAAGGGCCACACTTCTCGTGTTAAAGGGCCACACTTCCCGTCTTAAGGGGCCACACTTCTCGTGTTACTGGGCCACACTTCTCGTGTTACTGGGCCACACTTCTTGTGTTACTGGGACACACTTCTCGTGTTAAAGGGCCACACTTCTCGTGTTACGGGGCCACACTTCTCGCTCCGTCAGGCACCCAGCTAAAGTGAGTGTAGTGACCTCGCTCAGTGTGGTGTGACTTACCGGAGCAGCCAGGGGTAATCAACGCACTTGAGACATTCAAAGTGTTCCCACTTTTAAAAATGTTAATTTTCCCCTCAGCTGGGACCTGGAATATTTTAACTTAAGCTATAATCATGTGAGAAGTTAAGCCAATTCCACGACAACTGCCTCACTAATTGACTTAGTTTTAATTACCAAGAAAGTTTTTCTCTAGGTGAGTGTAATGTACTTAAATATCACTTGACTTTACATTATGTTGTGATAAGTTGATCTCAAAATATATATCTTGCAAATATTTTTTTAGTTTAATGTAATTAATTTGTGATAATCTAAGTATTATAACTTTTTCTTGCAAGTTACAATGACGCAAATGTCCATTAATATTGGCTTTAATAAACTTTTAAGAGTGCACGACATTCCAGCGGCGGCGCACATCGCCATTCTTCCTTAGTCAGTGTTTATCTGTATCTATGAAAGCGGATGTCTGTCTGTCTGTCTGTCTGTCTGTCTGTCTGTCTGTCTGTCTGTCTGTCTGTCTGTCTGTATGTCCTAAGTTGGAGTTCAAACTTTACAAGGCGACT